TTTTGTCTTTGCGGGGGGGGGGGGGGGTACAGATTAAATATTAAGTAGCAATATGGATACAAGTATTTTTATTTCCTTGGTTCTTATTGGGAATAAATAGTAAAAAAAAGTTAGAAACAATTTTCCAGAAATTTTTCCCAACGCAAAGTAACTGCAATTTGCCATATATTTACCCCAAAATATAATCAACAAAGTCTGCTGATTAAAACATCAAATTAGTGTGACTTATTAGGGATGCTCCTAGAGAAGTGGAGACGTGTTCTCTGGAATGACGTATCACGCTTCTCTGTCTGGCAGTCCAATGGACGTGTCTGGGTTTGGTGGTTGCCAGGAGAATGGCACTTGCCTGACTGCATTGTGCCAAGTGTAAAGTTTGGTGGAGGGGGCGGATTAAGGTGTGGTGTTGTTCTCAGCCTCGTAATTCCAGTGAAGGTCTCTCAAAGCATAAGCATACCAAGTCATTTTGGACAATTTCATGCTCCCAACTTTGTGGGAACAGTTTGGGGATGGCCCCTTCATGTTCCAACATGACTGTGCACCAGTGCACAAAGCAAGGTCCGTAAAGACATGGATGAGCGAGTTTGGGGTGGAGGAACCTGACTGGCCTGCAGAGTCCTGACCTCGACCCGATAGAACACCTTTGGGATGAATTAGAGCGGAGACTGCGAGCCAGGCCTTCTCGTCCAACATCAGTACCTGACCTCACAAATGCACTTCTGGAAGAATGGCCAAACTTTCCTGTAGACACACTCCTAAACCTTGTGGACGCCTTCCCAGAAGAGTTGAAGATGTTATAGCTGCAAAGGGTGGGCCAACTCACTATTAAACCCTACGGACTAAGACTGGGATGCTATTAAACTTCATGCACGTGTAAAGGCAGGTGCCCCAATACTTTTGGCAATATAGTGTATATATCACACACACTGGATTTTTACTTTATTCCTATATTTTAACAGCAGCTTTACTGCTTATGAGCCTCCTGTAGTGATCAAATGGAGAGTGTATAAATATATAAATACACAAATAGATATTTATATTTATGTGCATGTGAAAACTGGATCTTCAGGCAAACTCTTTTCTTTTCCAGAGAGTAGCGTCCAAAAAAAACGATGAACAGGAACAGGCCGAAAGAGTAATACCGAGGAATAATAAAATAAAGTAAAATAATGAAAAGTCCCAGGGAGTACCCTTCTTTCAGCAATCTCTCCCTCTTTCTCTCTCTCCTACCCAATTTCAGTCTCTCCTTGATATACACACTTTCCTTATTCACTAAAATGTGGAGGAAGCCGATTGGTTGACCAGAGAAAAACTTTCGATCTTTTTGTTACCAAAACAGTAAAAATTATTAATTTATAAAATTTACAAATATATGAAAACACTTTAGGAGCTTCCACACTGCAGAAAACTGATAACGTCCTGGAGATATGAAGTCCCAAGGGGGACATATCTAGATACTCCAGTCTTGCTAATTAACACTGTAAGCCCCCTCTGATCCCTTATTTTAAGTTTACTTTACTATAATGTTTTTTGGCAATTTTTATAGTTATCAAATAGAATCAAGAGCAAACCAAATATTATAGCAGTAATTACCTTGAAGTAATTTTTGTCGTGACGGTCACATTTTTACAAGCTTCTGAAATGTATTTTATTAAAAGGACCATGTAAAGCGATAACAAGGTAAGTTTAAAATGATTTTAAGCGTTTTTTTTTTTTTTACACTTCTTGCCTATATCTACTGCAAAAAAAACCAGAGGGTTTAGAACCCCTTTAATGGCTGTGTGTTGAGTTATTTTGAGGGGACAGCAAATTTACACTAATATACAAGCTGTGCACTCACTCCTTTACATTGTAGCAAAGTGTCATTTCTTCTCTGTCGCCACATGAAAGGATATAATAAATTATTTACAAAAATGTGCAGGGTGTATTAAAAACTATACACAGAAATAAGGTTTTGATGACAGTTTAGCATAAAAAAAATAAAAAGGCTCTTTCCTTTTAAGCAAGGCGAAGAGTTGCTTTTCACACAGATAACGTTAATTCAGTGAGATTTCACATGACCAAAGTGCACTTTGCCTTCAGCAAGTATGTATTTTTCACAGGTAGGTGGGATGAATGAAATAAAGGACCTAGTATAGATGAACAATCCCACAGAAATTATCCACCAAGAGATGCTTAAGTGAAATCCAGCTGTGTAAAAGCAATACAAATCTCTGCTTCTTTCAAAGGACATGAGTAGTCCACATAACGTACTTCCAGCTGGTAGAAAAAACTGCAGGATAAAAATAATAATGCCTATTCCTGTGAAATGACAATCAGGTGCATCAGCCTCAATCACTTGCTAACCTCACTGTGTTTTCTGTGTATGCCACACACTTCCTTTAGCAACAGATCACTCCAATATCCCTCTGTGTCATGATTGTATGCCACTATAAGGCAAGCAGCTTTTGTTCATAGGCCTATGCATCTGTTACAATCTTGTTTCCTAAAGACATTGAATATGTTACATTGTAAAAATCTGGACACAGAATTCACACAAAAAATTACTTTCCGTTGTGCATTCTATTTTCTCTGTTTCAAAAAAATACTTGATTATTTTAGAAGGGACGCACACAAATAAATAAAACCTAACATCCCAGAGTGCCATTCAAAACAGTGTGGCTCATATAGTAAGATGTATAAACTTTTTGTTGTTCTGTACATAGGCCAGAGTAACATTATTATCTATAAGAATTAAAACAAATTGACCAATATCACTGAGAGACCTAACTGGCAAACATTTTCTTTTTTAGTAAAATTTTGTTCACACCATCTACAGTTACCGGTTCTGGATGTGTTTTTGCATACGCCTCTAATTTTTGAAGCACTCCTGTGCAAAAAAAAAAGCATGTTGCTGTACTTTTTTGAAAAGCTTTGGAACTCAATGAACGCAATGGTGTGAACTAGCCTAATTTAAAACCATTGCAATTACCGTGTATACATTTTTTGTGCAGACAAAAAAAACGCACTGGTCTGGAGATGGTGTGAAAAAGCCCTAAAATATGTAAATGTTATGCATTGTGTGGATGTGCTGTTGAGGGTCTGCCTCCGACCCCGAGAGACCCATCAACAGTAGTAACTCACTCCCTTCACGGACCAGCGCTCATTGTACCAAATGACGGGATTATCCTGTCACTGGTCGTTAACGAATTGAACGATCATTCAGGAAGGAGTTAAACCTATTTGGGCCAGCAAAAGGTGCTGCTATACTTTCTTTTACTTCTTTGTATGATGTAAAATGTGCAAAGCATTATCTTTAGCACCCTATACCAATTAGCAGCTGCTTATGCTACCTCTTCTTTACAACTCCCAAAAATACACATCAATGTATATAAGAAGGGTTGTCTGCATTTCACATTGTTTTCTCTATTCTGCTTCTATGGAAAAATACACCATTTCTATATTACACTTCACTTACTGATGCCTTGATACAGACAGTTTTTAGAGATCGTCTGCCGAGGCTACAGATTTATAAGGACTTCATGCCAAGAGAGCACAGCAAATCATCTAATACCAGCTGAGAGGAGGAGGACCAAGTTCTCATTGACTAACACTTTCACTTTCCATCATCTAGCCAGGCCACTATGATTTACTGGAAATCAATGTACTTACTAAGTTACAGTCCTAGCTGATGTTATGTTGTGTGCCTTCAAGATTTCCCCTTTTTATATGATGCCAAGTAACTTACAAACAGTCTTTATTGGAGAAGTGTTTACTGACTATAGTTGTCTTAAAAAGTTATTTATAAAGGGATGCCTGCAAGCAGTTACAGCCACAAGAGTCAGAGTGCAAGAATAAGGGGACTTTACCATTTTCTATTTGGATTCATCGTGTTTTTCGGGACAAAAGGATTTTTTTCATTAGAAGGTCAAGCTGACAGAAGAGAGCATTTCTTGAAACCTTGCCAAATATAACTAGGAGGAATATCATCCTGGCCTACTTATATGATTTACTTGCCTTGGTCCCGCTTCCATATTTCAGAATCATAAATTTGGAATAGACAGAAAACAAAAGTGAGAGAACTGTTAGAATTCCTAATTTCTTTGCTCGTTCAGAAGCCAGACATGGCAGTGACCTGAAAAAATGAGGTTTCATTTGCTTAAAATGGGTGTTGCATTACCATACAAGTCTATGGGAATGCAAAACCTGATTAAAAGAGGTCACTGCCGGTCAAATGCACCTGTCAATAAATACATTCTAAATGATCTCAGAAGCCTTTCAAACTGATGTCGACACAAGCTCAAGGCCCATCAATACAGGCCCTAAGGCAGCTAGTATTTTCAGCTGATGGTCAGCAAAAGCAGCTCCCATATTTCTCATAGTACAGATTTTCTTTAATAAAACTAAAAGAGGAAACAGAGGGCCAGCTTTTCTATAAGTCCTAGGTCCCTTTTGCACATCAGAAATTCTGGCAGGTTCTTTAATCAAATCAAATGTTTTTTCCAGGCATTTCCG